CAACACCTCTATGGGTTATTTAATACTGAAATCTAAATATTTTGAACATAATTTATGGTTTCAACTATAAATAGGTATATTAGTAATTTTACTATAAATATGTATCGTTAGTAATTTTTTGGATAAAAATATTTTGCTGGTATTTTTTAATATAAAATTTATTTTTATACTTTATTCTTTTTTGGTTTTTTGTTCGGTGGGGGTCACTATTTGCCCATAGCTATGAAGGGGTACCACCACGGATCAGGGTGAACCTGAGAACAACAGCAAGATAAAGGTGGGGGGGTTCCACGCTCCTCAAAATGTAATTTCCCGATCAGAGACCTTGCTGCCAGATGAAGTTTATCGTCATACTCAGGACCCCTCTCGATCAGAAGCATTGCTGACGAATTTAGTTCATGGAGGACTACAGGGAACAAAGCGTCTGTATGCGGAGAGCAAACTAATTAAGCAAGGACACGAAAATATAAAAGACAGGGACGCGTTTTCTCGCCGGATATATTTAATCTATAGGATGCTACGTTAACTAGAAGACGTTTTATACTAAAGCTCACCAATACAAGGCTCGAGACCCACTCAAAGTAGAGTCAGTTATGTGCCATGCGTGATACACGCTTAGGCGATCATGTATCGAAAGATACATGACTGACGAAGCAGATTTTTTTCCCGCAGTAGATTGCCATTTTTTTCTGCGGTAGACCAGTTGATATCCATGCTATAGAATCAGGTCTGTTCTGCTATTTATCCATAGCTGGGGGGGGGTAGAAGAAGAGGATTCATACCTTTCCCAAGGGTATTAGCATGTAAGTGAATGTAATAGGTTCGACTGGAATTCGAACTCGGCTCTCCGATTCCCCAATCCGAGCCGCTATCCATTACTCCGCCGTGCTAAAATGTTTATGATGTATGAGGTGTGATACGAATGAAAAGTTGGTAAGAAGATGAGAGAAGGAGCAGAGATAACGAGTGAACGTTCATTTGAAGATATTAAGATCGCTGTATTTAGGGTAGCGTCTATGCGTGAGCGCTCCACAAAGATGCAGTTCTTGAGAAAAAAAAATAAGTGAGATTATCTTCTTAATAATGGAATACGGAAGAAATGAAGGCGATTCGATTCCGTGGAAGTAACATGGTGTGCTTTAGCTGTAAACACCTGAACTGTTTGAATTAGAGAAAAGTTAATCTAAAATAGCAATAAAGTAGCGATGGTCTTCTGACGTTTTGCTCTCTGAAAAAGACAGCAGGATGCCACACCACCCAAAGAACCTCGTAAACCATTTTGAACTCGATCATGGTTTAAACAGACATACTTCATCGCTGGAGTCTCATCTGCCTTGTATAGAGAGAGTACGGTAGAAAGAGTCGTGTACTGTCTGGAGTGATAGAATAAGACGACCATCTTTCCTGCTTTTTTTAGCAATGGATCGTATGAGCTCCACGTAAGATTCTGGAGTGAATTTTTGATCCAGTAAACGTTCAAAGCATGGATTCGCATTGTGTGCAATCATCCATGGTGACTGGAGAAAACTATATCGGTGATGAAGGAAACTAGACACGCTTAGTTTTTGTGTTACCGAAAGTTACAAGCTGGTTTCCCGCCGCCAGTTAGAACTAAATCAGAGGAGAGATCAGCTGCAAGTCTATGATCAACTTGAGACTTGCGTCCATAAACAATGGTATCATCTGCATAGATATTTACGAATGATCTGAGAATGTTCATGTGCAATTCGTTAATAAAAAGCAGAAAAAAAGGGTAGAACTGAGGTGACAGCCATGTAGGACGCGTGAAGTGATCTCATGAGCTTCAGAAGACTGAGTGTCGATTATGGTGAACTCCTAACGGTTGACTATTACAGAAATAGGGAAGTACAATTATATTACAATGCTTAGCTTAGATCAGCACAATGTTCCAACATTTGAGCTGGGTTGGTCTATTTTTACAATATATCAACACTTTGGGGGCTTATTTAATGTCAAAATCAGAAGACAGGAAAAGAAGTAAGTCGGAAGTGGGAAACGAGGAAAGAAGGAAATAAATGAAGGAGAGAAGTGAAAAAGGAAGGAAAATGTGACGGTGAAGAGAAGCGATTCGAGAAAAGGTGTGTTGTTGCTTCTGTATGGACGTTATCATAAACGAGATGACCTTTTCGGCCACTGACGGTTCAGGTTATAAAAACATTAAAGTTGATTTCAACGTTCCATTGAAATGAAAGTTAATTTTATTAAGATTCAGTTAAATATTTCAATTCGTTCATGTTATCATTGTTACAAGTTCATTTTTAACATTTTACTGATTGTTTACGGCATTTAATAGGAATAGAACTTCCGGGGTAAACTTGAACTTTAAAATCAGATTAACTTAAAAATCAGTAGCTAATAACTAGTAACTTACCTAACTAGCATGTGCAAAAGGATAAGAAGTTGTGGAGAGCCATGATCGCCCACGGTCCGAAGGAAAACGGTACATAAAATGGATCTTAGTCAAGTGACTCCTATCGAGTTCATTTCTCGAAACTGGCTTTATGTTAGTTCTCTTCGTCCAAGAAATGTTTTCTGGTAGTGACTTTAAAGTAGTAGATCTGAAATTGAACGACATAAAAGGGGCCATTAATTGCTGAGGCATAGGTGCAGCGCAACAAAAGCAGGACAAACCGCGGCCCTTATGATTAGGTTCCCGGCTAGGGATTCATGGACCCAGGAAACTGAAGTAAATCAGTCGGTAATTATAAAGTGATATGAATTGTGGAAGAGGGGTCTGCAATCAAGCAAGACTTAACACTTATTCAAGTCATTCGTGTTTATTACGTACTAGACAACCGGTGACCTGTTGGGTCACTGACGATTCAGGTTATAAAACACTGAAGTTGATTTCAACGTTCCATTGAAATGAAAGTTAATTTTATTAAGATTCATTTAAATATTTCAATTCGTTTGTGTCATCATTGGTCTGGTTTACAAATTCATGTTTAACATTTTACTGATTGTTTACAGCCTTTAATATGAATAGAGCTTCCGGGATGAACTTGAACTCCAGTAACAGCATTTATTTATGGCATATATGAACACTTGAACAAAATGCAAAAAGAATTGTTATATATGTCTATATTTCTGAGACGAGGTATGATGTACACTATTTACATTATTCGGACTATGGTCCTCATCTTTGTTGCCATATTTATCCAATCCTTCAGTATCTGTCTATATTTCTGAGATGAGGTATTATGTACACTATTTACATTATTCAGACTATTGTCCTCATCTTTGTTGCCATATTTATTACAACGTTTCGGTCGTTGTACACCCCGGCCGGGTGGTTGGAATGTCGAACTGAACCCTTTATTTCACTCGCTGCGGTAGACTGTTCTAGTTCCACGTGTCATGTCTAATAGATGTTAATTATCAGTTATCTCCTCTCCAAGTTCTCCACTGCCTTAACCAGGTATTGAACTCATAACTCTTTGGGTCCTGCCATTAGATCTAATCAACGTCTTTATCCACTGCGCCATGTGTCCTTAATTGTTATATTACTGTATAAACAGCTCGTACTTTGAAATCTCATTCAATTATTTTTAAAATGAGATCAACTTAAAAATAATTTTTTTAATATTCCAAAACATATTTTTAAAATCATTTATTTGAAAAAATTTTTTAATATGCCAAAAATATTTTTTTAAATATTTAAAATAGTTTGTTTAAAGCTGAAATATAAATTATTACTCTATAAACAACTGGACAAAACAGCAAAGCGGGATCTCTTTGTGCCTGTCTTTAACTTTAAAATATTTAATTAAAAAAATTAGCTGTTTGAAGAAAGTTAAAATAAATTAAACAACTCGTATTTTTGAAACTTCTTCGCTTAAAATATTTTTTAAATCAGATTAACTTAAATCATTATACACCGGACGCACGCACCACACAAAAACGCAAGCAATCACAGACTTTTAGCATTATATAGATAAATGAAAATAAAATAATAATAAACATGAATATTAAAAATAAAATAAAACAATACTAAAACAATAATACTTAAACTTTGTTTAAAATAAATTAAAAAATAAAAATAAAACTCTCTTAGCATGCAACAAAAGACATCCTGTCAAAAGACGTTAAATTCAATCTCTTCACTTCGAACCCTCGGAAAGGCAACATGTGTGTAATTTCTGTGTGATATGGCGTGTAATAATACGGAATGACTTCTCCCTGTTATCACGTGTACCATAAAACAATTTTACCCCCCCACCACCACCAAAAAAAAAAACAAAAAAAAGACACACCGATATACACAAAAAATACAAATAAATTGTATGAAATTGACGTACAACTTACCATGCCTTTATTGTTATCGATGTATGTTTTATTTATTTTTTTTTTATCTCCGTGAACCCGAAGCTAATTTCTGCTGCTTTGAAGTTAGTGACGCCACACATCTTACAAACTAGTTACATCTCTCCTGAAGAGATAGCTCGGTGGTTGTGTTTTGGGATAGCATAGATGAGGATTTAAGTTCTAATATCAACTTTAAAATGAATTTCTGAGACATTTATAAGTTGCTGTAGGCCGGACACCACCTGATCACCTAACGAATATATTTGTAAAAATATTTTCTGCTTTAATGATATTTCCAGTTTACTATCCATGTTTATTTTTGCTTCCAATCGGTGTGTGGGGAATAAAACACCAAACTGCCCAGAAAGAGGCCAGAAACAGAAAAATTACTTAACGTGTGGCTAATTTGACTAATTTGATTTTCAATTATTCGTTACGACTGGAAGATCAACCAAACGTAACCCCCGGTTTATTAACCTACACGAAACACGCAAGAAATACTAAAAACAGAAAAATATTTACTAAAGGGTACTTCAATGTATTTAGGTATGAAAACAGATTTTTTTTTTTTTTTTTTTTGTTGAGGCACACAAACTGAATCATATTTTGATTTTAATTAAAAATTAAGTCAAAGTTTCCTTCATTCCCAAACACAATCTCCATCAAAGTGGGTTTACGGCCACGTCATGTTGAAACACCGGTTCCCGTACAGTCACCGAAGTTAAGCAACATCGATCCTGGTCAGTACCTAGATGGGTGACCGTTTGGGATTAGTAAGTGCTGTAATGGATAATTCCCGTTGGCTTCGTTATATTCATTTTAAAACTAAATATTCACCCAATACAAGAGTCACTCAAGGTAGAGCGTTACTGTGTAGAGTTGTATGAGCATAAAAAAGGACAAGTGAAGTGAGTGCCTGGGGCTATACAGGAAAGATAATGGCTAACTCTAGACTTAAAGAGGACAAGATTTAATTAGTGAATAAAATTTGAGAGTTCAGTCGGAGACAAAAAAGTATAGAGTGGAAGGTGATTTTCCAAGCGTAGCTCAGATGTGGCACAAAGCCGAAAGTATGGGGGCATCCAATGAAGATCGAACTCACTTGTAAATGTTCTAGCGAGACAAGCTTTCTAACCATTACACCACCTCGAGGTGTCCAAGTATAGAGTGGAAGTAGGCATTAGAAGGAACTGGAAACCAAATCCTAAACAGGAAACAAGGGATAAACCCGTACTCCTGTTCAAAAAAATTCTTACAGTCTCAAACTATTTTCTGACTTTAAATAACCTGCAAAGAGTTTATAAGGTGAAACGAGTCAATGAGATCTTCTGCTGAACTTCTGTTGCTTCTAGTCTCTTCGGCTGTGATGAGTGTCCAGCATACACAGCCATATAGGAGGACCGATATTACACGAGTTTAGTAATCTTTTATTTGTTTTTAATTTTCCTGCTCCTTAATACTTTGCTTAGCTTTTGGAAGGTACCTTTTGCTATCCAAACATGCATTCGGATTACGGTGTCGCATTTTCCGTTCTCTGTTAATACACTTCCAAGATATTTGATTATTTTTACTTGTTTGATTTTGTTACTTCTAATTTATAATTAGCAACTACACAATTGACGTATAATTGATTTTCAGTAAATTATAAACCATAATCTTGCGAATTGAACGTTTCACTGAAATATGCTTGAAACTGCTTAAATTTTCATTTGATATTAAGAAAATAAACTGTATTATACAGTAGAATCCCTGACAACTGGACTAAAAATGCCTTCTGGATATGAGGAATTGGTTACAAAGTCAGGATATGAGGGGTTATATTTAGATTAAAATGAAAGATCTGAAATCAGGTTTAATATTTATTTTCAATGTTTTGTAGTAAACAAAATAAGCTAAATGGTGAGTGAAATATAACGGAAGTGATTTTAAGGAAAAAGAAATAAATTATGTAATGTTAATGAAAATTCATTAAATTAAGTATGCCACGTATGCAAAACAAAACGAGGATTTTTTTAATCGCTGTTGCATGATGATTCATTCTATTCTAATGTCATTCTCAATTTTTCCGCACTTCGTTTTGCTTTTGTTCTTGAATTTTTTTAAACGAAACACATTTTAAATCTGCGTGCGTTAATGCAATCGTCATAGCTGAATGCTGGCTTTCTTTCCATAAAACTGACAACCTTTAATAGGTTTTTCAATTTCAGTCCAGGTTTCACCCCAATGATGCATCTCGTCGCTATCTTGTTGCAGATGTGTCTTGTTGTCACCCTTTCCTCTTATTCCCATCATCTTTAGCACCAATACAAGCCATTAGGGTGAAATAAGCATAAGCAATTATCCAAAGTAAATTTCCTGAAAACAGAAATTTCAAACCCGTTACATATCACCCAAATAGTTCAAATATACACATCAAAATCATGTCCGGATATGCGAGATTCCAGATATGAGGGATTCTACTGTATATACTTAAGAGAAATAAAATTTATGACTTGGCTGATGATATATTCAACTCCGGAGTTTCGTAGACGAAAGTGTTCGTAATTGTTCAGTCCATTCGTCAAGAGGTTTCAGCGATTGACTGCCATTTTTGTCACTTTTCATTATTCGTAATATTTTTAAAACGGATATTTTATCCGACATTATTCCTATAAACTACAAACGTGATTTTCAGTATTTGACGTGCTATCCCTGCTATCCCTTAACTATATATATATATATATATATATATATATATATATTAAATAAACAACATGTGGCTTAGATTAAGAAGTCCTATTAAATTTAATATTGCTTAGAATCGAACCTGTATCCCCTTTTCATTAGGGAAATTAAATGGTAAATGATAGCGAAAAAAATGTATAAAGTCAGCTTCATCTGTCTTGGTGTTAATAACATGCCTACAGATGATTATTTAATCGTGTAACTAAACAATTTAATAAATAGTGTTTAACATATTTGTTGTCACTTTAAGAAAAAAATCAGATTCAAGAGTAAAGAGGGGTGTTTGAGGAAAAGATAAAAAGAAGGATGGGGATTAAGATCAAGGCATCAGAAGATGTTGATTGGCATCACCTTTGAATACTTGAAGATTATTGCTATCAGGGAAGCAAGTAAGAGGAAGAGAGTTCCACTGTCAAGAAGTGCGAGAGAAGAAGCTGTTGGAGTAGAAGAGGCAGTTACATTTAACTGTTTCGACAGTGAAAAGGCGGGGGGACCGGGATGCCAACCTAATAGCATGCTTATATTCATGCAATTGCCATGGAAATATTTGTAGAAAAAACAGAGGGAAGCAACATCACCTATGTGAGAAAGTGACTGTAGTCGAGATGCCAGATCAGGACCTATCATATTGCATATCCGTCTTTGGATTTTGTCTAAGAACCTCGAGATGAACAGCGAGGACACCAGACCAAGTATAGCAACAGTATTCAATGCATAGAGGAATGGTAGATTTGTAGGATAGACACCGACGAGAGAAACCTTCTGGCGCGTCACAGAGAACCAACTTTCCTTGCGGTAGATGAAGCTATTGATTCACTGTAATTATTCCAGCTCAGGTCAGTGGAAAATGTGTGATCAAGAACGCGCAGAGAGACGCTCTCGACGCCAAATAAACGGACGTCTTTCTTTAGGTGTACACTGTTCAATTATTAACGGTAACAACAAACTATTTTAAATTACAAAATTGAGCCTGTATTAAACGAACATTACTTACACTATAATAGATATTACTTATAATACATTCCTTCGCGTACACTGATGCTGTAATCACTAAATAATATGAATTTAAAAGTTTATAAAAAAATGCTGAAAACGTTTATATGAATCTCATGTGATGAAATAGGCAATTTAGCTGAAATGTGGGTTAAACGTTTTGAATGACAAATCCCTATGGTTAAAAGAAATTTGTTGCGACCCCGCTACCCCCATTTGTCAAACCGCAAAAGTAATTTGGGCAATCCTTTGTCTGTTCCTTAATCACGTGAAGAAAAACTGGAAACGTCGTTTCATTTTTAAGACGACGGAATTTTTACGCCCGTCTATTGAATTCTTCAAAGTTCTGCTTCGGAATTATCAGAAGTTGCCTTAAAGTGAAATCTCCCTTTCAACGTTGGTGTCCAGGAATCGTAGAAAACCAAATCTGGACTGTAATTGTTTCGCACAGATAAAAGGTTAATTATTTACATTTTTTTTTAAAAACAAATCTTCACTCAATAAAAGTCTCTAGAAAAGAGAAACTGAATGATTGATTCGTCTTCTACGGTTTATTAACCTTTTTCAGGTTATTTAAAGTCAAGAATTATTCTCAGATTGTAAGATTTTTTTTTTAAAGATAATAAAATTTTAGTGATACAAGACTTACTAATTAACCCATAGCTGAGGGGGAGAAGAGGTAGATTCATACCTAACAAGAATTTGATAAACAAGAAATTATAATGTGGATATAAAGTGGGGGTCAATTCTATATTACAATCTATATTAAAAACTAATCCCTCACTTTGTGGTCATGGTAGTTTCTATACATTTATATTCCAGAAAATGGTGGAATGTCTAAAGAATTGACCAGATATATTTCGAGAGTCTGAGAAAGATTTGCGATTATATAGGCACTGTCCGACTTTGCCTGATCATCGACGTATGCTGTGGCCGAGATGGTTAAAGCATGTTGGCTCCAACGACGGTTTCTTCTGCCAAAGAGAGGCGCAAGTTCGAATCCTGCCGAAGAGTGTATATTTTTCTTTAATAAGATTTCTCGAATATTCAAGCCGGTAAACTAAAATAAATAAACTGTTTGATAAAAATATGTTACTAATAATAACCCGTAAGTAATCAAATTCCAGAGAATGTAAATAAATAAAAAAGATGAGCCCGTGTAGCTAATCAGTATTTCATAGATCCATTTTCTACAGTTTATGAATTTTAGATTGTAAGGATTTTTTTCGAGAATCGTTTAGTGATACACGTATTACTAATTAACCCATAGCTGGGGAGAAGAGATTGATTCATATCTTCACCAAGCGTATTTGTGCTTAAATAAATATAACGAACCCAACGGGAATTGGAACTGCTCTCCGATTAACAATCCCGAGCCATTATCCATTACACCACCCGCACATCGAAGTTTACAGCCCCTGGTATTCCCAAAGTGTAGATACTGACCAGGCTCGACATTGCTTAACTTCAGTGATCCTACGGGAACCGGTGTTTCAACGTGATGTGGCCATAAACCGGAAGTGAATGAATAGTATGGATTTAAGGAGGAGGAAGTAAGTGTATATTATGAGACTATGTAGGATAGATAATGGTTGACCTAGACCTTGAAGTAATCGTGAAAACATTCTCTTGGGTGTTTATTCTATAAAGTAACTTCTCTGGCACTTTCTTCCTACCAATGAAATTGGAAAGGAATGACGAGGATTTGAACCATTGAACGTGGCATGTCACATCGTAGGATGTAAAGGTCTGAACTGGATGAACTAATGAACGTAGATCGTCTGAACATTTCCCATGGAAATGGCGATAGGCTTGCGACTTTTCGCCATTGGGTGAGAGTTGAAAGTAATTCATCACCCACAAAGCCCCGTAAATGCTTTTAAACTGTCAAGTTTGGAAATTAAAGATTGATCAGATATAACAACAATATTCTATTTTGGATTTGATCAGACTCTTAAAAGTATTGCAGGAGTCAAATACAGGGTGGTCCGAAAGTTTTGTCACCCGTTACGAAAAACCAATAAGAACAATAGAAAAACAAGTAATACAGTAATACAAAGCACATGTAC